AACAGTCCTCTGATCACCTCAACATGCCGAAAGCGATTCCACCAGAGACCAAGCTGACACCCTGAAATCTGAACTTGCAGGTTACACGCACGAGTCGTGGATCAACCACGAGGAGCCGCCGAAGTACGCGACGCTGCGTTCGGCGGCGGAGCTGGCTCGGCCGGTGGTCCCATCGCCGCCGCCGCCGCCAGCCGCTCCCCAGGAGCTGCCGGTAGTGGTGAACGGTTCGAGTTTGCACCAGCCGCACCCTGTCCCGACAACGACGCCGTCGTCCTCCGCATCGCTGAGCCTGCCGCCCCGGAAGAGCCTCGCCATGTGCTTCACGAGCACCGGCACCGCTCTGTCGCTGCCGCCTAAGAAGAAGGACATCTACCGACCGTACAGCCTGCAGCCCACGTCCGAGATCCGCACGTCGGCGGAAGAGGACCTGTCCGCGGCGCAGGCGATCCTTGACCTGAGCGCCTCGCCGGCCGCGCCCACGCACTCCGTGTTCATTCACACGTTGTCGCCGCCACCGCCGCCGCCGCCGCCGCCTCCGCCGCAGCAGCAGCAGCAGCAGCAGCAGCAGTTGTCAACGGCGGTGCCGCAGCAGCCGGGGGTCGTTGGGTCCGGGCAGCAGTTGCAGGCCACGCAGCTGCAATCGGCGCCGACCGCGCAGCCGATACCGGTCTCCGTGCTGGTCCCGGTGCCCAGCTCGCAGGCCAACCAGCTGAGGCAACAGGAGCAAACGCAACAGCCGCAATCGCCGGCGACCGCCGAGGCGAACGCGAACTGCAGCGCCGGTAGGGACGGGTGAGTATTTCGTTGATGAATGGGGACGATCGGCTGGTACGTTATCGGTGTCGGTTTCCGGTCGATCGGGGGACGAAGGAGAGGCCGTTCTTCTTGTTCCTCTGTCGGCGTTGCGATGAACGGATCGGACTGGTTGTTGATCGATGTCGCAGCACTGCCGCTTTTGTGTACTTACCCGTCGCTTGCTCGGTGTTTGCGGACACGTGGCCACGGGATTATTGATCGTTCGAATGGTGTCTGGATTATTGATGTTCGTTATCGTCGTTCGTTGCGTGGATCTGTTTGCATGATCTTGATGGATTGTGTACGTCCGTGTGCGCGTGGGTGTGACGAGATACGGGGGCTCTGTTTGCCGATGCGCTGTCGGTGATTTTAGGGGATCGTCCGGGGCTTTTTTCCCTGCGGGATCAACTTTCGCCGGGATGCTTGGGACATTTTCAGATGGAGGTGGATCTAGATTACGCCCTGCAGTCGTTCTTCATTCTTATCGGTTCGATTGTTGCGTCGGAGCTTCACTTTCGGCGATGTAACCTCTATAGACTTAATCCCTGACATCGCTCTTTCTGCTCGAACCCTCGTTACAACCTTCATTAACAGCCACCGAATCACCGGATAAGCCCAGTCTCCAATCCCCACTCCCAACCGACCGACAGTGCATCGACTATCCTGAGATTCTCCGACTTATCAGCCTGAACTTTTCTGCTCCCAACAGCGGGCCGAACGGCAGCAAGACGGTCGCGTACACGTACGAGGCGTTCTTCGTTTCGGACGGTCGTTCGAAGCGTCGCAGCACGAACACGAACGGGGCCGCGGTCCCGGAGAAGGAAGCCGCCCAGCCGGACAGGCCGAAGTTCACCTGTACCGAGTGCGGCAAGCAGTACGCGACCTCGTCGAACCTGTCCCGGCACAAGCAGACCCACCGCAGCCTGGACTCTCAGTCCGCCAAGAAGTGCATCCACTGCGGCAAAGCGTACGTGAGCATGCCCGCGTTGGCGATGCACGTGCTGACCCACAAGCTTGCCCACAGTTGCGGCGTCTGCGGCAAGATGTTCTCCAGGCCGTGGCTGCTGCAAGGCCACCTGAGAAGTCACACCGGCGAGAAGCCGTACGGGTGCGCGCACTGCGGCAAAGCGTTCGCCGACCGCTCGAATCTGCGCGCCCACATGCAGACACACTCCGCGGACAAGAACTACGAGTGCTCGCGCTGCCACAAGACCTTCGCGCTCAAGTCCTACCTGAACAAGCACCTGGAGTCCGCTTGCCTGAGGGACGACGAGATGCCCGGGCAACAGCAGGCGGCGGCCGGCGGCAACAGCAACGGGCAGCAGCAGCAACACCAACAGAACAACTGCGGCTTGTAGCAGCGCTACGACAGAAGCAAGGCCGCGAAGCGTCGCGAGGACGACGGACGTCGCTGCGCGATGGACGCCGCTATGGAGAGCTAGCGGTCGTACCCGGCCGCGGCGCCCGGATAAATAGGCTGGGTGAATTCGGGGAAGTCCGGATGCACGGAATATAAAAAGTAATAAAAAAGGTTTGCCCAGTAGGTTTTAAGTAGAAAAGTGCCAGTAGAGAATGACGCGTAGTGGAAAACGGTACATACACAGATAGAGAGAGAGAGAGGATTGATCGGTCGATCGTGGCCGGTCGACCGATGGAGAGGGGTTAGAAGGTGGTATCGGTTTCTTAAATAATGTCTAACATTAATAAAAACGTCCAGTAATGTTTAAGTCTTAATCGAAGCAAACGGAACGACGAAGATTGAACTTCGAGGGGTTGGAGAGGAAGCGAGAAGAGAGAAAGGTAGAGAGAGAGAGAGAGAGAGTGAGAGAGGAAGAGA